CACTTTAAAATGATTTTCTTCTTATAAGTGTAAAAAATAAAATCAAAGACAAAGAAAAAACAATAGAAAAGTTTTTTTTTCACCAGGGTTACCTCTACATAGAGAAGGCTCCAAGCAGCAAAGCAGGGAAAGATAAGGCAGGACAGGAGAGAAGGAAAAAGTGTCTTACTCCTCCGAGAGCGGGGAAAAAAAACAACTTCTCCACTTCTCCTTCACTGCCTTCCAACTCACACTTAGTTCTACCCAGGCAAGGTCAAATCAAGTTTTTAGTTCCAAATACATTTACACAGTCCTTCTCTGCCATATAAAGTCATAATTTCTGTTTTCTTTTTTGTCCCTTTTGCTGGTTGCATGTGAGATACATCGTGCAACACTGCCCCAACATTTTCTGTTGGGACTGCTCCATTTACTTCATTTGAGTGTGCTTTCATAAGGTCTCTGACAATTCACTGAATTAAATATGAAATGAATACAAAGAACAAACTGAAGGCTCTGTTTGTATGTTTGTAAAATTAATTGGGCATAAACAGGCTTTTACGTCATTCACCAGATTTTTATGGTCTGATGCCATCTTCTACCTGCCAACTTACCTCTCAACCAAAACTAGAACCAACATGTAGATACATTGGATTATTGACAATATGTCTTGCATTATGCTAAAAACACACCTCTAGATGAACTTGGTCTAAATGTACCTGACATTTTTTAAATGTATCCTTCAGGATACATGGTGCCAGCCCCAGGGATACCCTCTCCAGAGTTCCCTCACACCCCTGGACCCTGAAGATACCAGAACAGCTGTGGAACTTAACAAACTGGTATGTATCCCAACCCCTCATGCCTGCTCACAAATCAGGTTGCAAATGGAAAGGCAGTCTTTTTAAACTTTGTGGCAACACTTGCAAGAGAGTATGTAGTAAACTGACAGTACAACCACAGCATCTCTTGATGTTTTTGTACAGATATCACAATAACACCCTACAGACCAGTTACACTTCCCCAGGTTCACACGTCTGTCAGTTGCAGAGCAAAGAAGCTCAAGTCAGAACCCACAAATAATAATAATAATAATAATAATAATAATAATAATAATAATTTTATTTACAATGCACCTTTCAGGACACCCAAGGACACTATACAGCAGAAGAACATCAGATAACATTCTGTAAAAACAAATACAGTCCAGTGCAAGGACAAACAGACACAAAATAAGAAAAATGGAAAGTACAAAAAACGGTTATGAAGAATAAGCTAAGCTAAAGAGGTGTGTTTTCAGAGCAGTCGTGGACCTGCCTGAACGCTTACTAGTACAAAGCTCTACCTATTTACACAAAGTTACTCCCTGGAGCTCAGTCCCCAGTTGAGCTGCCGCCCCTGAACCAACCAAACACACGTACTGACAGATCTGATAGATATTTAGAAGTCCAAGCCGGAACAGGACCAGTCGTTCCTGTTGGCTGGATCCAGCACAAGTTCTAATTCTTGGCCCTCTACATAAATGGATGTTGCTGTAAGTAAAATTAAGAATAGACTTAAAAGAAATGTCATGTGACTTCATGTTTGTTTGTGTTGGAGTAGATGGGACTGAAAATCCCCCTTGTTAGTGCACAGACTCTGGTTCCAAAATTACAACATGGCATCACAGTCGAGACACAGTCTATCAACATAATGTGTCTGTCAATGCAACATGTAAACAAACTTCAGACAAACTTTCAACAATCAGGCAGCAGGTGTGTGTTTGTTTGAGATCAAAGTGTGAACAACCAAGTTCAATAAATCAGTTTATAACACTGTAATAAACCACTGCTGTAAAATCAGCCAGTTTCACTTGTGCTTTGCTTTTATTGGAAAACAAAATTCACGTCTCTCCTTCAAAATGATTTTTTAAAGAAATATGTTTCAGTTTCTCCATGATTTATTTAAGTATTGCCCTTCTAACAATAGAACCAAACTAATCAAACAGTCACAATGATTGAAAAGCTGTAAACTGTTTGGTGTTGGGCTGTTATGAAAAATACATAAATACATTTTTTTATTGACTGGTTACCTCTTAAATGATGTTGACAATAACTGTAATAATAACAGTAATAACAGTATCATACCCACCTGCTGAAGGTTGCAGATCAGCAGAGCACCACAGTGAGTCCAAAGCAACTCTCTTTGGCTACAACTTCCAAAATGATTGACTGATGAACATGTCCATCCAAATGTATAGACTGTATTTGTTTTAATGATCTGGAGACTCTGATACAGATAGATAATACTCTGTGAGGAGGAAACTCTGCAGCTGAGACTTCACGCAAAAGTTTCTAAATAATGTTCTCTTCATTTTTGTCTCCAATACTAAACTGTTCTGACATATATCACTAAGAATAAACCAAAAACAAGCTTTTCTTTTAGAAGTAAGAATTTTTCCTTTTTTTCCTTTTTTCGGGGGGCGGGGACTATGCAAAATCGACTTTATTTAGCTATTTATATCGTAATAATGTCATTCCCTCATTAAACACATACCCAGAGCACTGCTTTGACTCTTTCATGCATGTTTGAGAAATCCTTGAATCTCATGTGGTAGCCATGTGGACCTGCCTGAACGTTTGCTAGTACAAAGCTCCACCTATTTACACAAAGATACTCCCTGGAGCTCAGTCGGCAGAGGCCAATTTCAAATGTTTAGATAGACTATGAAAAAAAACTTGATTTGAACAATGTGCCTGGAAAATACATAATACCTCCCACCCCTCAAAAATATTGAAACTCAAATTATTGAACATTTTTGCCCACTTAGGGCATTCTCTGAATGCTATCGGTACTGATAGTTTGCTACTGATAATACTTGCAGTACATAGTTATGTCACACAAATGCATCATCTCATCACATTTGATGTTGTTGATCCATCATTGTTTATATTGCTGTTTTTACAGATCCTGAGATTTATGGGTGAGTTAGATCTGAGCAGCTGGCAGGAACAGATGTTAGGGAATTATATAGTGGAGAAGGGCCAGAAACAGCCAGCCCTGAGGGATGAGATCCTGGCCCAGTTGGTTTACTATACATGGGGCAAACAAGATGAACAGGACAGTCTGAGGGGGTGGTTTCTGCTGGCCTGCTGCCTCAGTGCCTTCACACCATCGCCAACACTGGAAAAACCACTGCTGAAGTAAGTTTAGTTACCTTTTACTGTCCAACACTTGATACCTTTTTCACTCTATCCAAAGTTTTAAAACGTGACATATTGAAACTAAAATAAAACATTTGTGTTGATATATCTTTAGAGCTATTACTGGTAAAAAAAAATGCGTAAAGTTTTAATTTTCTGAATATCTTTTTAAATCAGCTGTGACATCGGTTACAGAGCATGGAGTATGCGCTCAAGGTCTTGGATTTAGTTTGAATGTGTTTCAGCATTGTTGTATTGTAAACCCCTCACATTTACAGCACCCCTTAATGGTTGACATTTATTTTTTAAAAAGTTAGAAAGGCATTGTAAAGTTTTCCACATATTACTGATATGTTTAAAAAACATATCAGTAATAACTGATATGTTTTTTACCTGAGATATTCTAAACAAATCATTTTGTTGCACTTGAACATAACATGCTCATTTTATTATCATTTTTTCATCAGTTTGCCCTCTCTCAGCTGTTTTTATGCTTCCGGATAATCATGAAGCTCTAATATATTATTCAGTTTTTCTTTTTCCTTTTTTTCTTACATAAATAAAACTAATTCTTCAGCCCAATCTAATAGAAGCTTTGGACAATTACAGTACATAAAGCAGTAGCTACAGCTTACGTATGCAGCATAAAAATACTCACAAATGTCCACCAGTAAAGGGTCATGTCTGTATTGATTGCAAACTTTAGCATGTAATTTCTAAACTTTAAGACTTAATATCAGAATTTAACATATGGTAATTCCCTAAAGTGACTGACAACAACTGTCAGTTCAAGACAAATATACAATTACTGCCCAAAAATTAAGATAAAAATATTTTGGCTTGTAAATTCTTAAATTTTAGGCTCTATTAACAAGGACTTTACATCATTTTAATGAGTGAAATTTACAAGATTTTGTTTTCAATGTAAGCTTGCTATGACAATGTAATGTTATCTATGCATATTGACAAAATGTACAAAACCTTTAAACAGTATCTACTCAAAGTGCTCAAACTTGATCAGTGTAAAACTTATTATATAGCGCCTGGAGTAGTAACCAACAAAAGGTTTTCAAGAAAATAGTTTTTAATGACCAAGTTAGGTTTACTCTCATTTTACTAGTTTGCTATTAAAATTTAGAAATGGATGTTTTTATGGTAAACTAACCTTGAAGCTTTATTAGGAGTTTGAAGAGACTGAAAGGCTTTAAGATTATGACTCACAACCTCACAAACCTGCAGTTTGCCAGGTCCTTGGGCATACATGTCACCTTGTAGGGATTATTTGTAAGTTATAAGGATTTTGCGTCATTTTGCAGGTATACGGACGTATCAATAGCAATCTCACTGATTTTTTCAAGTCTTTTGGATTTTTTCAAAACTCATTTTCAAATTTATCTAACATGTCAGAGCCTGTAGGATGATTTAAAAAATAATAAATAACACCAAACAGCCATTTTCCAGCCTGTTCTGCCGCTGGAAATAGGTTTTGAACTTTTCTGCTCTCCTTTCCTCCTGCTTCTCAGCAGGCACTTTCATGCCC